CTTCCTACAGCAGTAGATAAAATAGGGAAGGCTGTTTCACAGCTGCAATTTCTATACACATCAAAGTGATGGAATAGATAGGTCCTATGGCTCTCTCCTTTTCAAGCAAAGAAACATCCCTAGCTGCACATTCCATTTTAGGGAAACTGTTTGTGCCTTTGCATCTTCCATTCAGGTAACCACCAGCACTTTTCTAGTTTTACAGGATGAACGTGGGAGGTGCTGAAAGAGATACTCCAGACTCTTCACAGACTTGGTCAGAAAGTTCAGCCTTAGTTGGCCCCTGATTTTTGACATCCCAATGAGAGGTTACTTTTGTAAGATGCACAGCCTAAGCACATATTGCACGGGCTCACAGCACCACAAGCAAGACTGTAAAGCAGTGCACTTTGTCAATGTGGCATACACTAGGGTATCAAAAACTCTAATTTCTTTTTGTACGACTTCTGAGAGTTCTTGAGCATTCAAAGCAACTAAGAATATATTCTAAACCAAATGTACTTAGTTACTGCTCAAAACTAAACAGCATCACATGAAGAAAGCTGACAGGTTACCATTCTTCTAATTACAATATAAAGAAAAATGATCTTTATACATTATACGATCAAGGCAAATCGCTTGGTATATTTCAAACATTTCATTTCAAACCATTCATACATAGACACGTCTAAGCAGCCATTCAGCAGCAGCCTTTAGGTCAGGTTGCTCACAAGCTGCCCTTACTGTTACTAGGAGAATGATACAGCACAAGGGGTAGAAACGTGCTGCAGCACATGCAAAGCACTCCTTAGGAAACGGTCTCAGAAGTAGCTACTGCTTTTAGAACTAGTTGCCAAATCACACTTAACGTTTTTTCCAAGCTATTCCATTGGTTACAAACAAATTTCTTATTATCAGGTCATGCAAGAAGCCGCCCGGTGTCTACACAGGAGTAAACTTCTCATTTAGCCACTTTGGGGGGTTGCCTTTTTTTACTTTTACCTGACATTGAAAACGTAGCCACCTCGAACTCTGTAACAAACCAGATTTAAGGAACTACCATAAAACACGAAACGCAAGGCACTCCCATGTTGGAGACAGCGTCTGAGCCGCACGCGCAGAGAAGGGCAGGAGGCTGCCGGTGACAGCTTACCGACGGGTAAGGCCCTTTTCACCTCCCTACCAGTCGCCGCCCGCTTCACAACGAAGCCCGCTATGGGCGCAGTCCCGAAGTTACTTTGCCCCGCGGATCGCTCCCGCGTTCCGACGGTGTCGGCCGGCCCGGAGCCACCACGTCCCGCGGCAGGAGGGCGCGGAGCCGCCGGACAGCAGCGCGACCTCCCGGCTCGGCTCGGCTCCCCGCCGCGGCCCGGCCCCGCTCCCGAGTTCCCCTCGCACCCAAGGCCGCCGGGCGGTCTCGGCGGGCCCGGCCCGCTCCCCCTCTTCGCCGGGGCGCCGCCCGCCGCCCGGCCGTCCCCGCTCGCCCCCGAGGGCCGCCCCGGCGGGGAGGCCGCGCTGCCGGACGAGGGGCCGGGAGTCGCCCGGGTGCGCGCCGGCCCCAGCCCGGCGCCTCGGGAAGCGGCGGCGCGACCGTGCCCGAGCCCGGCCCGACGAGGGAGCGGGGCGGCGGGCGGCAGGCTGGGCGCGGCCCCGCGACGGAACCCTCGTCCACCCGCCGCACTCACCTGAGCGCGGCCAAGGCCGCGGGGCCGCGGCCGGCCCCGGCCCGTCCGCCTCTTCCTCTCACTCCGCCATCTTCCCCTCCTTACCGCGGCCGCCCGGCGGGGGGCTCGCGGCTCCCGGCGACGGCGTCCCGCCCCCCTCGGCCGCAAGCCTATTGGATGCCGCTCCCGGGCATCCGCCGTCCAGCTTGGACGCCGATTGGTAGCTGGCGCCGTCCGTCACGGAAGTTCGCCGCCCGCCTCCGAGGCCGTCCTTTCCGATTGGCTCCGCGAAGAGCACACGCCCGCGGAACGATTGGCTCGGGCAGCGCGAGCGGACCGGCCTGGGGCGAATCCTCCGTTGACCTCCACGGGAATTTGAAGGAGCGGCTCGGGAAGGGCGGCTCCAGCGGAACGGGCGGCGCCCGCGGGCTGAGGAGCTCCGGCAGCACCTTCGGCGGGGGTAGCGGGCCCGCTCCACAAAGCGTGCCGGCGGCCGCCCCCGGTGCTCCCCGCCCTCCATTCGGCGCACGTTCACGGTCACGTCCTCGGGGCCGCGTGCGGAGCGGGCGAGCCGGCAGCCCGCCGCCGTTAGCGGACGAGAAGGCCGCTCCGAGCGGCTGCCTCCGCTCCCACTGCCGGATCCCGTGGCGCAGACACATCTATTTCTATCGCCCCCGCCAGCAACTGTAATTTTACGCTTGAAGACGACCGGCGAACGCATCGAGTAGCGTGAGGGAGTAACTTATCCATTCACGGAGCTCCCGAGAACCACCCTCAGCGCGCACTGACTCATCACGGCTTCAGGCGGCCCGCCCCGCTCCGGGGGAGTCCCGACCCGCGCCCCGCTACCGGCAGCTTCGTGCCCGCGGTCGTGTCAAAGGAAACCTGCCGCCTCCACTGCTAACATCCGCACACTATTCCCAACCGCAGTTTTTTTGTTGTTTTTTTTTTTTTTTGCAGAGATCTGCTTACAACTGTACAGATTCGTTTTGAAGGATTTTAAATTAAACAAAACATGAAATCTGCATTCTGTACAACTTGTCTACCACCTCTCAATTCACAACTCAAATACATAAGCTGCAGAACACTGAATAAGACACTCAGCTGTAGGCAGCCTGAGCTGTGAAACTAAAAAGAATCATGTTTTTGTAGAGTTTATCCTTGACTAGCAAGGGGTGTGGAAGCCTCAGGAAGGTTGCTAACAGTACTTATTGATCAGCTCCTTCTCATGAAGGAAGATAAAAACAAACTCTCAATAACCAATGCCCATCTCTGAAACTAGCCTATAAACTTCAGTAAAGACAAAATTCCACAAGCTTAAGGTTGCCTTCCTATTGCTTTGCATCCCACAAAGCTTCTAATTGATTTAAACAGCTAACAGCAGTCAGATTCTGCTTTTTTCCTTCCCTTCTCCTTCCCCCAGCCCCAAGGAAAAAAAAGCACCAAAACACCCCCTCTCTCCCCCAACCTTGTTTGGAACCATGGAGAAATGTAACACTCCTGTTCTTACAGAATCCACGTTGTAGTGTTACATGTGCTCCTGTGGAGGTCCTGTTTTGCACTACTGGTTTCTTCCACTTTACCAGCAGAATGAAGGATTTTGCAATACTCTGAAAACAAAGTTACAAGAATTCATTTGTAAAGCATGCTAGCTATACTATTCCACTGGTACTTAATTTTTCCAGCCTGAGGATAACCAGTTACAATAAAGCAATGTTTTTGGTTTTCTTTTTAATACAGTGGAAGGTTTATTTATGGATTGATAAATACAATATCCAGTCTCACTGGGACAATAAGGCACAACTGTAGGTTACAACTATACAGCCAGAAAAGGAGAGCAACACTTACTTTAAAGCAGATCACAATGCCTACAACTTCAAAAAAAACACTTCATTATTATTACAATCTTATTTTACATGACACTCAAAACTTTTTCCTCATAGAGAGGTTTTTAATTTGTTTGTTTCTGGACTTGTGCTGCGCTCTGCAAAACAAGTGATAGCATTTTACTTTGCGATTCCTTAATTTAAAACAAACCAGAAATCCTTCATAGACCTGCATGTTATCTTACAGAAGTAAATGATTCAAGGAACAAAGAAGAAAATAAAATGAACATCTGAGGGTAGTTTGAGACTGGCAGTATTTATAGAAGTATCAACAAATGACAAAGAAGCAGTTGTAACACTGATTCTTCAATAAAGAAGCTCGTAGGGCTTTTTGGTTTTAGTGGAAGGTCCTCCCAGACCATAGGCTGCTCCAGCTGAACTAGGTGAGATCATTTGCCAATCTAACCACAGAAGGATGTGCTGCTGTTGAACCTTCAATACTTCTGACATTCTGATTTGATTGGGAGTAAATATATTAACTGTATTAAAATGAAAGATAAATGAAACTATAATTATACTTGCAGAGAGATTTATGTAGAAACATATTCTGTAATACTAGTAGTAGTACTCAAACTTAAAATATGTACTTCCAAGCAATATTTGCATGCCCGACCTTCCATAAACACATCTAGCATAATCAACACAAATCTAAAAGACCAGGACTTCCATATTGGAAAGTGCAAATAATTACTAATGTCCAGGTCACTAGAATTAAGAAAAAAAATCAGTAGTGTTTCATGACACTTATCAGGGGCAGTGACGGAAAGACAAATCCCAGTTTTTGGCATGAATAGTTTTCTTGCATTGTGTATGCTGGTAAACAAATTTACACCTTCAGAGGCAAAGCCACCCGAATGGGAAGAGGCATCTTTGTGTAAAGCAACCTGGAAAAGGTACTTCATGGTTCGCTTGACTTCATGTCAAGTCTGGAATCTACTCATAGGAAAGAAACGTTCCTACAGCAAATGCAGAAACAATTTAAGTGACTTAATGCAGAGATTCTATTTCCTTTGAGGACTCCACTGTCCATCTCCACCACGCATTCTCCTATTGTGCCTATTCTCCTACTCTGAATCAAGCCCCAAAAGAAGAAAGTCTCCACACCATACCTCTGGACTGTTACCATGCATTCTGTGCTAGTTTTGCAATGATGCCATAAGAACTATATCATCTTTTTGTAGAAGTCAAGATTTGAAAGCAGGGAAGAAAAAAAAAAATAAAGAGCCAACTAAGGAAGAAAGAGATGCTATGATGTGAAGCCACTACTGGAAACAAAGGTGAACAATTATCACTGCACTTAGTATTTGAGTAGATGCTCGTCTTCAAAAAGTGTTTCAGAAGGCATTTCTGTGGCATTTTCCTTTTTCCATTCTCAGATTCAGAGCTCAGAAGAATCAGTTCGCAGATTAAACTGCAGTACATAGGAAGGAGAAACATTTACTCATAACGCAAAAGGAGACAAGGGAAGAAGTAAAAATTAAAAATGGAAAGATTTCTTTTAAATGCTCCTTTCCAAGTTCCATGGCAGCTATTTCTCTTAGTTCCTGATGCACAGGGAATGTTCACATTGGTAGAACAAACCAGTGAAGGGTTGGAGATGTATTTTATATGCATCAGTAACAATGCTTTGGGGGAAGGTGGTAAGGAAATAATGAAGTTCTATTCATTGTATAGTAAGGGTAGAAAGGAATAGGTTCTCCATCCATCAGTGAAGAAATCGAATACTCATTTTCTGCTCTACGTCCACCTTCTCCAAAACCTGCAATAAGATCCAGAAACAGTTATTTTAGTTAATTTACACAAGATATTTCTTTTCTGCAAGTAAAAAGGACATGGGCAGGAACATGGAGCATCTTCAATTTGGCATGACATCCTTTCATCTAGAGACTGCTATGTTTTGTTCTGGAAAGAAACTCCAGCCATTTAAACCTGAAGAAGGATGCCAACTAAAATACAGCTAATGCAGGTCACCAATACCCCAAAAAGGGCTGAGCTATTCTCAAAAGTAGACCGTATAAGAATGCATGGTGAGGAAACAATGGACTAGAAGAAGGGACACAAGCAGTAGAACTAAAAGACCACAGCAGACCATTTTAAAGCTGAATTTAGAGTAATTAAGTTCTAAGAGATTCCTGGATGTCATTTAGTTCAGCTTTCTCGGACAGTGCTTAAAGCATGGCCAGCTAGATTAAGTCACTTAAGGTCTCATCCAGTTGAGTTTTAAATTTCTCAAAGGAAGAGAGATTCTATCTCTACCTGATCCTACTAAGAATTTCCCACATTGCATTTTGTTTATGCTGCCTCATCTCATCTTTGTCCACATCCAGGATGTGTCTGGTTCCTGTCATCAATCTCTTCCCACTAGGTCAAAGTTGTTACTTGGAGGACCACTTTTTTCTGCTGACTACATAATGGATCCTTACTGCTGGCTATTCCTGTAATCATTACAAGATACAACTAACAGGACTACACCTAGGAGTTTGTATATAGTATATACTTGGTTGTGTAACAGATATAATATAAAGTGAAATTGGACCAACACAACTGTAGCAGAATTACTTTGTTGTTACTGCTAGTCAGGCTATTTGTATAGAAAGAAGCATTTATCATAGTAATACTACATTCTTTGCTGCATTACAAATCTCTTTTGCCTCATTATGAGCTGGTTTCAGGAGTATATTGCTATCTCATTTTTAAGCTCTTGTCACTATTTCATTAAAACACCTTATTCTAGAAGATACATTTAGCATCAGATGCCTGAAGTAGTCTTCGCATGAGATGAAAATTCTGCAGTATGTTCAGTGCTATAGCTTACACTTGAGAAACATACGGACTAATTATTTGCACCCTAAGAGAATAGCTTAAATATCTCTCCTAATAAGCCAAATGCAAGCAGAAGACATACTTGAACAACTTATTTTTCCATCTGCATTTAAGTCTGAATGATCTGTTTACTAAGCAGTTGCATTTACTTGTGTCAAATATGTAATATACCAACCTTTACAAACTCTGCAAAGGAGATGGCACAATCCCCATCTTGATCAGCTTCCTGGATTGTCCTGTCAGCAATGCTGCCAAGCTGCTCATCTGAGATATTGACACCGACCATCATCCGTAACACCTGTAATGTATGTAAATCCCTAGATTATTATTTTTTAATCATAAGTGATATAAAACCAATTATTCTTAATACTATTTCTCATACATGCTGTCTAGGTAATCATCTAGACATGCTGTCTAGAAGAACAACTCAAAGATTTCCATGGAAATATTTCTGGACAGTTTGGGCAGTTTTTCTTATTATTACTGGTCCTTATACATAAAGGATTCCAGGAAAGAAAGCTTTCTGCTTCAGCCAGCTTTTTCACTAAGCAGCTGAAAGACACAGTAGTAGTAAAAAAAAAAACACCTTCTGAAACTAGGAAAGAATAACATTTTGTTCCAATGCTTCTCATTTTTCCCACAAAATGTATGAATACTTGATTTGAATGTCTGTTCAAAATGCTTCCTACAGGAATATTCTAAGTATATGCACAAGTGATAGCAGCCATTACCCCCTAACATTTAGTAAAGCATCTTCTGCACAGATTGAAAGTGGGCAGTTTCAGTCAAAAGCAAAACCTTGTCCTACATCAAGAACCGCAAATTGCCATGTCTACCTCCCAGGATTAGCAGTATGTAATTACTCCTAGCTCAAGCCCAGCTTAAATACATACAGCCACTGATGAACTTTGATTATCTTTGCTGGTCTCTGCTGCAGTTTCACAAAGTTTTACTTCAGTTAGAGAATACAAAGACAACCAGAAAAATGACTGCATTCACCCCCAGCAATGTCCCCTATGAAGTCATGTTAGAAGCATATTAGAAAGTTGCAGAAGACAACTCTTAAGGGACTTAGTGTATTTGTTGGATTTTTAAGCATCTTTACCAATAAGACCTTCCTTTTAAGAATCATTTCTAGTAAGATCTTATTTAGCCTAACACTGTAGTTTAAAACTAAATCTAGAATCCCTGGTTTGATCAAACAATCTGGGCTACCAAATGAGGTTAAGGCTTCATATATCTGTGGTTTAAAGCTTTAGATAACAAATAACCACAAATTCCTGCAAGAATTCCATCAAAACTGTTGTCAACACCCTTCTTCATTCTAAATGGTGTGAAATGACAGATGATGGAATCATCCAAAATAGTCTCATGTTATTTACCTGAAGAAGCTCATCCCTGGAAATCTTGTCATCTTTATCTAGATCATATAACCGAAAAGCAACTGCAGGGAGAGAAAAAGAGAACTGAATTCAAGTGCCATTGTTTTTCTTCCTGACAATTATCTATAAAACTAATAACTCATCACAAATCACTTTAAGACAACTCATGTAGAACTTGGATTTACTGTACAATTCATGTTCAGTTCCATAAAAGGTTATTAGCACATTTTTTGCCAAGGAGTAAGAAACATTAAGTACATAGTTAAGTACTCAACAAAGTTGCAGAAGCGTTCTACGTGAGGAGTTATTTCTTTAAAGCCCTGAATCACAGTGGCTCTAAGATGCATTCAGTGCTTTAACTTCAGAGCCAGCTGTTTTTACAATTGTTCATTACCTTCAATGATATTCTAGCTGAGATTTACAACAACTTTTAAGTGCTCTGGGAAGCATTGCCTAGGGCATTCAGTAAGCACTATATTACACAGAAGACTGGAGAAAGAAATAGAAAAGCCTATTTGTGTAGAAAACATGGCTTCTTAATATGATATAACCATTGCAAACCATTTTTAAACATTTGTTATGAAACATTTAAGAAAAGATATATGAACATAAGATTCAAACAATTCTATTAAATCTTAGACAAATATAGGTTGACCACTGATATTCTGGACAGGTAAGATTACAAGTTCATTTAAAAATCAGGTTATTATAGGATATCATTCCACAGGGAAAGACTGTGTAGAAGACACTAAACTCCTTTGCTCTCTTCTCAGAAAAAGAAAAGAATATGAATTGCTTCTAATAGAAGGTTCCCATTTCTTACAGTGGAGCTTGTTACTTCGGCTGTTCAGTGGTTCTGGTCCATTCTGGTCTTTGCTCTTTTCATTATCTTCTATGGGCCGGAAGTGGGCTAGTGTCCTCATGAATCCACGGAAATTTACTTGGTCCTCCCTGCACAAGCATTTTAGCCAGTCAGCTTCAGCACAACTCATACAAGTTTATTTCAATAAAGAACAGTAAGAATGTCTCAATTGCCCATACCATGGCAATTCTTAATTCCTACCTATCCAGGGTTTAGCAACCTGTGATCAAAGCCAGCTCTGTACAGTTGTAACCTGGGATCATACTTCTGTAAAGAGTGATGTGTGATACACAAGGGAAAAAAACCTGCAAGAAGTCTTGTTACAGGCTACTCCCCTCTTTGCCTACAAGCAGTGTTTAAATTCAAGCTTTCATCCTTTGCCCTTCCCTAAGTTATCCTGCAACTATACCCGAATATAGCAGTACACGTCTTGCTGATCTGAATCCTGGCCTTCAGTACTGGAAATCTGACTGCTTCTTTGGATTTATGTTGCAAGTGTCATAAGCTACACCTTAAATATGATGCAAATTAAAAAACAGAAGTTGATCTGTTAACAAAGGCACATTTAGAAGGCAAAAAAGCAAAGAAAAAATTGAATTAGTTAACCACAATGCTACTTCACCTGAAGTATTATTGCTACAAGTTTGCTTTAAGAATCGAAGTCCATGCTCTTGACCTTCTCCAAAAGCAGCATAGCAAGAAGAATGGACAACAGTAACATGCAGGCAAATCTCATCACTGAATAAAGCATACGAAACTCTCTCAAAAGAGACAAGTGTCTCTTATTATGTAGTGAAAGCATACAGAGGAAGCAACATACTAACACAACTATGAGAACTTTGAGATGTTCAGTTTTCACTGAATTCAAATTCCGCGCTTTAATCATCATCATTTCATTCCTATTCATTCCTCCTGACAAACTACATTTTGTGACTATTCACAAACTCAAGCATTTGGGACTCACCCTTCTGGAAAAAAGGCATTGATAATTCGGTCTCCCAGAGGATTGATGGCAAGCTCTGGAATCCGCTGGAAGTCTTCACGGCTAAGTGAGGCAAGAACACAACAAGCCTGTATAAACAAGTCTGCAAGTCACAGGAAAAATAACTGCTTAGGAATTGAGATGCTAACACTATTTGTGCTAAAAGCATCCCTACAAATGGTGCTCACTAATTTTCAATTTAAGGAAGGAAAACTTCTTAAGCTATGTATTTTGAAGCTACACCTGACAATGATTTCTCCAGACTAGTTCACTTCAGATTCTAGGACAATACCATGCTATGCTCCTCCACATATACTCATAGGTGATCTGCAGAGTTTAGTTTCACAAAAGAACTTCCTACACAATGAATGCTAAATTTCGTATTTTTATCTCCCACTAAGAAGCACTTTTATTTTAAAACAGTAAGTTCACTCCTAGCTTGTGTACTAGATGCAGCTTCACCAGTTTGTTGCCAAGATCCACTGCTCCTGCCAGCCATTCTCCCTCCTGCTTGTGATTATATATATAGGCACATGCTAGTATAAGCATAGCTATGCTTATATTGTTGCAACTTTTTTACTGAACTAGAAGACAAAAGCTACACTGATCTAAAATAATTCCATCATGCCAGTATGATCATGAAAACAGGGTCCATTTTATTATTAAAATTGCCCTAATAATTTTTCTTCCAGCCTAATAATATCTCCTTGACAGGAAAGTGGAGTAATCCTGTCATGGCTAAGGCAGACACACTAAGCAACTCTTTGTAAATAGCTCCAGAAACAAAGGTTTTCTTCCCCAATATAACAGATCACAGCAGTTCATTGGTACAAGATATATTTCATAATCATCTGGGCTTTGAAGTACAATAAGAGCACCATGTTAAGGCTACAAAAACAAACAAAACCCAAAAAACCAGCCCCACTAATCCCAGCCTCTTCTATCCACATGCATAACTTAACAGTTACTGCCTGATCACTAGAAATATTGGCTGTTACCTTAAAGTCAAATGCAATCCTGCTATTTCTGAATTTTGAGTCAAACTTTCAAACTTAGTCATTCAAAACTTGCTACTTTTAAAAACCACCCTCACAAAAATGAATCAGCAATAAGTCTGCACTATAGAATCTGGCAGAGGAAAGCAAAGGAGAACAAACCTATTTAAGTATACTAGCCTTTTTAATAAGTGTGATCTTAAAGACAGGAGGAAAAACATCTGAGAAAGATCAAGCAAGATGTTCTGACTGTGAATGAACTCTAAAGTATTCCTAGTACTTAGTTACACCACTGCACTGTTAGTCCCAATTATAGCACATCTGTTACAACATGGCTAACACTGCTTGACCTTCTAATAGAATGACCTGATCATATTTTTAAACCTACATCTACTCTGACCAGGTCTGAATTATTTTTAATTGGGAAAGTCACCATCTGCATAACACAACCAACTTGTTACCCTACCCTTCAGGACTGCTACCTTGTCAAGCTATAGCTGAAGGGCAGAGCATGCATTAATGACTCAGGTAGGAAAAGCAGTGATGTGGAAAACATGCACCTTAGAAACAACATTTTAGTAACATAACTTCAATGCTAGCATTTGGGATCTAAAAGAAGCAACTGCTCTCAGATTCCATTCAAGACAAATCTTAACACTTGAAGGTTTTCTACTTGCACGTCACTATTTCTTAGTATCAAGCCTCAATTAACACTCAGCATTCCAACTTCCAGTTCCACATTATAGCAGATTAACAATTAACCACAAATAACTCCCCAGGTTTCAAATCTATTTGTCCTGTCATTATCAGGATTGCAGTAGACCATTTTTGCTTGTTAAGAGCACATTACTGAGTGAGTGTTATAATTGAAATAGCTCTAACAGCCATAAAAGTAAATTAATGCATGATGTAAGTTATTCTCCACTTCATAAAGAAAAACTTCCTGCAGTCATTTGGGGCCAACTTCACATGGCTGAGGCTGGAACTTACAGGAAAAAATCAGATGCCCTCTGCTTCTTCTGTTTTAGTAACATAGCAACAGGCACTTCTAACATGGTTATTTCCAGGGCTAGGCTTCTACTAAACCCTTGCTTAAACATAACATGCAAAGCAACCTTTAACTGCATGTTATTATGGAGACCGGATGTTTTATACATATGCCAGAGCATTCACAGATTGCAGCAAGGAATTTCTCAATTTTAGGACTGGACTCTGTTTTCCTTCCATTATTTCTGGCTGTCCACCCTTTTACTTCAAAATGAGTGGGTGAAGCAAAGTAAAACAGTACATTTAACATAAGGGATGGAAAAAAAGGGGAAGATGTCCAGAGAGTGAAGACAATAAGAAATATTTAAAGCTTCTAGAAAAAATTTGAAAGGATATAATTCAAAGTAGAGTAAATAGCAACATGGTCAGATTTAACAGGTTACTACTGAAAAGACATTTTACTGTTCTCCTCCCCTGATAACATCAGCTTTAACATTTGTCAGACTGTCTGATGGTCTAATACACCTCATTAACAAAAAGGAAAGCTCCCCACTTTTTCTTCTCCATTCTCCCAATTATCTTTGATTAATTAGACTAATTTTTGAACTGCTTCTCTTTGCAAATATCACCACAGCTGACAAAGATGTGCTGAGAGCATGGAGAAGTGATACAGAAAGAGTGGTCACCCTTCTCTTTTAACGGCCATGTCAGCCATCTCACCTAACTGCATCCTTACAGGCAGTCTATAAAAGTTTAAAAACGGTTGCTTAACTGGGGAATAATGGCTTTATAAACATCAGGAAAAGAATGCCAAAATAATTAGAAGAAAAGCAACAGAAAGTAGTATAAATAAATGAATGGACAGTCAAGGACAAAAGCATAAACTATTACAATAACTTATCATTCACCAATCCAAATCCATATGCTGCCTGTTTTGTCAGTTTTAGACAAAGCTAGAAATCCTTCACATTTTCTTAAGCAAAGGCAAAGAATTCCATACTCAGAGAGCTAGCTTGTACACTGTTGTTAATGCACGCACTATCAGTCTGAACTATTAAGAACAAGCCTAGAAACTTTCTCAGTGTGAACTGATTCAACTTTCATGACAAAGGTCAGCAGATGGCCCTGATAGTTCATACCCTTCTCTCAGCACCAACTGCTTTCTAAAAGTTCTCCAAGAGACACAGTCTTGTCAACAGCATTTTTAAGTACAGAATTTGCATAAATAGCACAGTATGTCTATTCTAACATCAGCTTTCAGAACATTTGCCTACCTTCTTTCACAACTCACCAGGCTAAACCAATTGCTATATAGCAAAAAAAATACTTTTGAAGTGTTTAACATGTAATTTCTCAGTGCAGAAGTTACCTCTATATAAGAGGCTCCTTGCCACAATATCAAAATAAAAGACAACAAGAACAGTTACCCTGGCTTTTACAACCTGTTTTCATTCATATGGCACAAGTCAGTTTGGCACTTTTGTTTAAGAAAAAGAAAGAAATACCAGGTTTGCTCCTTCTAAAGAACTGTTTGCACTTCTAAAGAACTAATAGCATTTCACCAGTTGCTGCAATTCTAAGCAGAAGATAAAGAGGGGGGAAAAAAAACAACATTCCTTCAAAATTACCTGATGACAGTAAGCACAGTAACTTCTTTCTTACCCAGAAGTAAGAAGTTCTTTGATCAGTATTTCAGAAGCCATGCTTTCTAAGCTTCTGACCCACTACTCCCAGCACTGTTTTTCAGGAAGTATTTTTCCATTACTAAAACTTAATGACTGCTTCCATATATTGTGAGTGCCATAACAGGCACTGGGAAACCTTTAACTCTATGAAACCAACCAGGTTGCCCAAGGAGGCTGTGGATGCCTCATCCCTGGAGGCATTCAAGGCCAGGCTGGATGTGGCTCCGACAGCCTGGTCTGGTGGTTGGTGACCCTGCACATAGCACAGGGGTTGAAACTAGATGATCATTGTGGTTCTTTTCAACCCAGGTCATTCTATGTTTCTATGATTCTATAAACCACTAAGCAATATGCATCATTCATAGAATATATGACTAACTATTCCTCTTATACAAATCAAATACGATCATTTTGAAGTTTATAAAACTTTAAATTCACCTTCTGAGTCCTTAAAAGTTGAAGGGAGGAACTGAGAAAGTATGTGCATAAATCCAGTTTCCAATTGTGCTGGACTATTGTGGATACAACCATCTTTAACGAGCAAAGACAAAATCCACACACAGATTTTGAAGATGCTGTTAGTATTCACTTCACATAATTCAATTGAGACATCAGTAGTATTTTTACCTATAGATTATCAGCTAGTCTGTTTGTCATAACAGACAAACCAGGGTTACAATTTATGATACATCAGCTTCAGTGACAGGACAGGTTTAAGAAGCTCCCGCCCATCCCATGCCAAGACAATCGTCTCTACTCCCACACTCCATCTTGCCATCCCTTCAGCTATGCCAGTCCATGCACTTACAGTACAGCCATAGTTCAAATGACTGGAGTCAGGTTAAAAATATCTACACAAACCAAATGGGAATTAAGTGTACTTTTAACCAAAACTGATCACTTGACATGTTTACACAACAGGACAGCACAACTTAAACGTTAACTGAGAAGTCAGCAATTTGTGGCACCCAAAGGAATTGCATGAGTCATGGAAGTAAATGGCAGGAAGTAGTTTTATATCTAGACAGGTTCATAGGTAGGTCTAGCTTTATAGGCCATTCTAGAACCACACTTCACAAGATCAGATCATGGAAAAACCCAGGTGATCCTTGAATCTATGTTTACTGGGTTTGGCAGCAATGGGATAGCTATGAACAAAATTAATCCCATTCCCACCAGACCAGCACACTGTTACAAGGTCTTTCCTCTTCCTGCTCTGTCCTGCATCATCTCAAGCTTCCTTTTGCACTGGTTCTAGCGTATGAGGCTATACAGCGATGTGAAACAAGACCTGTCTGTAAACAGGTCAGATTCCCTTTTTGTTCATTCTTTTGGCAAGTTCTCAGAGATGTACATTAGCTTCCAAAGATGAGTTTTCAACAGCAGAATCAACACTAGAGACTTCCAACTGCACTACAGCCTTGGACCACCTTATGTTGATTGCAAAATTGCAGTTCTGGCATGTTCAATCATGAACAGCTCATCTGTTAGACATCTGTAGGCATCATCAATAGAACAGTAAACAGTCAAATATAGTAAGAGTTTATAATTAGTCCAGTAAATAAAGAGCAAAACAGTAACATGCTATATAATAACTGATAATGCTTTCCAGCAGTTTCAGTAGATCAAAGTAAAAAATATTTTGCAGATGAGATTTAAGCATCATTTTTATTTAACTATTAGGCTTATGTGATAGATTTTGGTAGCAAGAAGCCTCTGTCAGCAGAGCACAGCAGCTGCATCATGTTAGGTAGGAGCCAGTTCCAACCTGCTCATAAAAGCACCTATCAAAGGCCAAATCTGAGCCAGTGTGCAGCACTGCGTACAGCTGAGAGCATATTTAAGACCAGGGAAACAACACTGCACAACAGCTGGGAGAGAGGAGTGATAAAATATGAGAAACAAGACAAGCTTTTTTCATCATGTTTTCTCTCCCAATTCTGTTGAGGACAGGGAGTGAGAAAACAGCAGAGTACAGCAGAGCTACCAACTAGTGTGAAACCAGTACAAACTGCAGCTAACCAGTTCACTTCTGCATAGCATTGGAACATCTTGCACTTTTTCCCTGTTAGCTACTACTACAAATAAAGAATCAAATGACTACTTGTGTAGAGTGACTTAGTTCCAGCATTTTCATGTTAGTTTTGAGCATATTAACAGATACAATTGTTGTTAAAGACATGGGGCATCATATACAATTAGTTCTTATTCTCAACATATCTTTCTTTTGAAAGTCAGGATAAAGATAACCTAGTGCAACATTTCTTTTAATAATCATCTATAAACTAGAAGCAGCTTATATAGTATAAAAAGTGACATTAAAAAACATTTTTAAACATTTGTTGTTAAATCCTTAATATCAACTCTGAGCTCTCCTGTATAATTACTACAAACCTTCAGCTCTACAGTAAAGAGAACTGTTATTTAGAGTACCTTTACTCAATCCAGCAATCAGATTTCATAAAAGTTTGAAATTCCAGACAGAACATATGAAGAAACCTGTTATAACAGCCTCAGTGATTCACCACATGAGAGAAACATGCACACATCCTGCAACAGCAAGCCACCATTACAGACATATCAACAGAGAGACCAATTAGTGTCAGTACCTACCTAAGAGTGCCATTTTCTCCTTTGTCTAGGCTGGTGAAGCGACTATACAAGCGAGTGATTTGACTGTGGGAGACTGAAGAAAAAAAAAAGAGCATATCAGTGATTCCCTGCAGGAGCACACCACATTGCACCAAATTACACAGCCAGGAGATTTGAATCACAGTTCCAGTGCTTCTTTTATTGCTGGAAGTTTTCTCAACAGCCTTCACCGATCTTCCCCATGTCATTCAAGACATTGTAGACCTTTCTTGTAGCATCTTTACTTCTTTTGTCTCTACTCCTGTTGGTTTCTTTCCTCCCATCTTTAGATGGGAAATGTATTGTTCCTCTGCCTCTAGAAAACAACTAGGCTTGACACCTGATCACTTTTTGTTCTCTAACAGGACTGTCTGAATGTGAACAGTTTATTCATTTTGTGATTCAAAGAATGTTGCAGGTTTCTAAAACAGTGAATTCAAAACTGAAAAGTCAACTTCTAAACAAGCTCAAGAATGAGCTGGAACACAAAGCAAGTAGAAAGTACAAAATTACTTCAGACTAAATTTACAATTTGCAATTTACAGGAGATACTCCAAGGCCACTTGTTAAATTTAGCACAATGGCATCAATATTACCAAAATATTAGGCATTTCAAAGGTACCAGACATCCAGTGCCTTAGATTCCCACCTGTTCTGACTATGGACTCTATCTAGAATATTAATTCCTGTAAAACTGAAAGAATGTCTGACAGAATGTTGGCTTTTCAGAGCCCCTTCACACTAAGTTGGTCAATACATGAAATAAGACTGAATTGAGCTGTAATGTTTGCTCAGTAAAGGTGTGATTTCATCCAATGTTGAACTAGCACATACTGCAATGTTTGGATTGAATTGTTTTAAAAGCCTTCACCAGCCCACATACAAAATTTATTTGGGAACAGGTTGCACAGCACTTGTCTGATCTGTAACAACTGAGGTAAAATTATTTTTATCAGGTCTGTTCTTTTCCAGCCTATTTGTTTAGGTTCAACTGCTCCCTCTTCTAGGATGACCTGCCAACAACTGTTCTTTCTCATGTCTCCTAAGCAACCTTCATTCTTTGCACTGGGTTGGGCAACTTGCTCAGTTCCACATAAGGCAACTTCTCTCCCATCAAACAGGGCAGCTTGCTCAAGTTCAAGTTAAGCAACACACATAGCAAGTAGATACTACTATTTTCAAGACTTCTAACATCTGCACTTTCTTCTTTTAGATACTATACATGCAATTGTAACAGATTATGAAATGAGTACCCTGGGGTTACACCCTTGGTAAAAAACTTTCAATTCCTCCATCTCTTATTTTCAAGTCAGTGTACCCAACTCCATTTTTGAAACACCTCCACAACAGAATATGATGAGTTGGCACATATTGACAGAGATTAACGGAGGAGACAAAGTGTTTGCTGATATTATAATGGACATACAGCATATCACAGCAATATGACAAAGGAACATTATTCATATCCATCACTACACTCTTTCTTAATTTCCTATTTGACTCTCATCCCTCATGAAAGCTGCAGCATCGAACACTTTTCAAAGCTTCCTCAGGCAAAAGAATTCCCTGCTGACCAAAAGAAAACCAGAACAAGGTTTGCAACTTACAACTGCTTCTTATAAACAAAAACTAAGACTTAAAGCTTCTTGAAACATGATTTTTATCTATAGTACTCTCATTAAGGCTCTTCTAGAAGTTTGAGTCAAGACAGTAGCTGTATCTTCTATTTTAATTTTGCTAAAAAAATTAGAAAATTTTTAGTAACTAGATATGCTGAAACATGACCAGAACACTAGCACAAGATCACTAAACACACAATATTTATTTCCAAAAAATCTCAAAAATGTGACATATTCAGAGAAAAAAAAATCAAACCTGGAAATGCATTGCAGATTCAGGGTTTATTTTTTTTAAAGCATCTTTAACAGTGACTCTACCTTTATTCTATGATATATGAAAATATATTTCCTAAGCATATAAATAACCATAAGAAAATCCATCACCTCTTACCACTGAAAGAATTCTCCTAAATTCTCATATAAATTCTAGTTGTTTATTAATCCTTAGGTGAACAGCTTCAAAGCATGGGAACAAGGAGTATGAACCAAAGGCTTTGAACACTGTTACATTCCAATGGCTTTCCAAAGAGCTTGCAAGAATGCTGACAAGCAACTTCTTGGACATCCTATCTCTTTTTCTTAATAGTGATTACTGAAATGACAAAATACTTTTCTCTCAGACTGGAGATTATCTGCCAGCATGCAGAAGTCCTAATGGGCACATTAGCCCCCAGTTCCTGGGAGCACTACCTTTGCAGATGTTTCTAAGCTTACTGTGCTAGTGTTTTCCAACACAACATAAAGAAGTACATAATACAGAACTTCCCTCTAAATTTAAAATTTCATTCAAGAAATTTTAAGTATCATTGTACAGCTTGTGAAAGATTGTGCTTAAAGTTCCCACAAAGATATCTTTTTAGTCTGTTCAATTAGAAAGGATTAGCACGTAGCTTATTACTAATATTAGTATTAGCAGCTATTCAGTTTTTCCAGTTTGCTATATAAATTGAATCACAAGGATCACTGAATTCATTCCAATAAGTTAAATGTTAGGTTTGCTCTTTTGTACTTACTTCAGATGAACTGGAACAGACATTTTCCTCAAGGAAGCCAAAACAGAATCATTCAGAGAGCTTACCGCATCAGTCCATCAGTGGCATGTAGTACTGCCAAATTGTTTATTTCAAGAAGTCCCTTTCTCAAACTCTTTAACAAGTGAAGTATCGTTAGCATCAAGTTTCTAGCAAATTATCAGATAGCCTATTCAGTAATACTTCTTTAGTATTCTTCCTGCAAACTTTGTTCCAGGTAACTCCAGAGTCCTGTATTTCCCCTATCTTGTACCTTGTGTAAGTATTTGCATCTCTGTGAAGCATGAAACAGCCCTACAGCTTGGTGGAATTTTCCATCTATCTACAGAAGTAGAAAAGGCAGAGAAAAATACATTCCTAGACTCCATTTACAGACTGAAGGGGGAAAAAAAAAAATTTAATAAAGTTCAAGAGGCACTTTATGACAGCTCACCAACAAGCATGAGTCAAAGAATATCAGTAATACTTGATTAACCAAACTGCATTTTAGAATAGATAAAATTGAGTAATAAAAACACAGAGAAATTAAGTAAATTCAAGCAATTGATCTTAAACCTTCTGATCACAAACCATTAACATGGGCATTTAAGCAAACCATTTAGAGGGTAACTAGATCTTGATGGGTTTATTGCTCAGAAGGTCATGTTTATACAGCCATCTCAATTTATTTAGCCATTCAAGAAATAAAACTGTAGGAATTAAACCAAATCAATAATAAATCAACTACAAGCAGGAAGGAAAAGTAGACTTTTCCTTTTCTCAAATTCCCTGGAATAGCATTCCAGATTAAGGGCTTGTTTTTTAAAAGCACATTAAATAGCAAGGCCACCTCCACAGTATGGATTTTTGTGGTTAAAAAGAATATAAATACAGACTTTTATGTTCCCACTTGTTTATCATAACTCTCCTGTACAAAGTTCACCTGGCATAGGGAAAGGATCATGGAAAGTATGTTAACTCACTCAGCTGTCCAACACATTGGCTAGTACTATCTTAGCTCTCCTGTATGCCTGATCCAGATCCACTAGTTTCCCTGCCACAAATAAGCTATTACTTAAGATGTACACAAGACAACATTTCAATAGAAAAGAAAGCAAAGTGGGTTTTTTTTTTTTTTTTTTACAGAGCAAGGAAAAAGCAGCAAGCATGAACAGAGCAAAAACACTCTAAGAGAAACTGATTTGCCAAAGAAAAACAGGAATAAAAAGCAAAGAGCAGAGCAACACCATGATGTCATGGCCTCTCTGCTCTGATTAGATGGAAAGCAGCAGTGAATTCACCATCATCCCTCATCCTGAGGGTGGGAAGGCTCTGGGGAAGCAATGGGTGCCCCATGGCTGGAGGGCCCGGAGGCAGCGAGGACAGCCCTGCCCACGGCACGGGGTTAAGGGACAGCTACAAACAGTAACGTTCTCTTAATTGGTGGCTAATACAGGAATTTACTTTTTTCGTTACCGCTGTTCAACACAAGACTTCCACAAGTTACGCTAGCTCCCCTGTACCTTCAATAGGCTCAGCTGTAGCCACACAACAACTAACGCCCGGGGGAAAAAAAAGAAAAGTACTGCACAACGAGAAAGCAAAGGCCCCCGGCCACAGTGAAGCGGGCGACGTCCCCGCAGCTCTCAGCGGCCTCTACAGACACTTCCCAGCCCGCCCAGCCGGCAGCACCGCGGCCTTCCCGTCCCCGTCCTACGAGCCGCGAGAGGAGCCCGGCGCCGCCGGCCCAGACGCCTCCCGGCCGGAGCACAGCCTCCGCCCACCGCTCCACACTCACAGCCCGTCTCCTTCTTGATCTCCTCAATCTCCTCGTCCCGGAGCAGCGTAGACGCCCGGGAACCCATAGCCGCAAACAAACAGCAGCAACGACACCGCAGCTCCCGGCCCGGACCCGACGCAGCGCTCAGCAGCGCTGAGGAGTCAGGCGGCGGCACGCCTCTTATGGCGCCGCTCCCGGCCCGGCCCTCCGCCCGCCCCTCACCGCCTCGCGGCCCCGCGCATGCGCGGTCCGCACACGCCGAGCGGCCGGCGTCAGCGAGGTGAGCGAAGGCGGCCTACCGCTCCCAGCGTGCTGTGCGCGGGGCGACGCCCGGCGTCCGCGCGGTGAGCTCCCCTCGGGATTGGGCGTGGGCCGTGGAAGTCCCGCCCCCCCGCGCTATAAGCGGGCCTCGGCGGGCCTGCTGCCCTACTTTGCGTCGGTGTGCGTTGAGGCTGGCATGGCTCTCAGCTTTCAGCGCCTGGAGGCCATTCTGGGCAAGAGCGTCAAGCTCACCTTAACGTGTGGCGTCTTCCAGGGTGTGCTGCAGCACGTCAGTCCCAGCTGCGACCTTCTGCTGCACGCAGGTTGGGGCTGATGGCGGTCTGTGCATTCCCTCGGCAAAGTGTGAACGGTGCAGGGCCATCGGGTGCCTCGGCCTCACAGCAGCCTGCTTGGCGGCGGGGTGCTGCCTCGCGGGCTGACGGCTTCTGTTTGTTTCCTTTGGTTTTTTTGTGAGTAAGCCGGCTCAGAGCAAGCATGGTCCTGCAGGGGCAAGCATGGTCCTGCAGGGCTGTGGCCTACAGGCTGCCAAAGCCACTCGGCTGGAGTGGGTGTGTGGCTCCCCAGTGCCAAAGCAGGCACTAGGATGAATAAATTGCAGCCCTATAGTTAATAGTACTTGTTTATCTGTGCTTTCTAATTTAAGATTACATGAGTGCAACAGATTAGAATTTCAACTACTGAGTGTATAGAACTGTTGTATAGAAATACTGCTTTGTAGAGTGGTGGAACTGTTGCATAAAATACTTAATCTAGTGTTTATTGGATTTTTTTTAGTTATTAGAGCTATGTGCTTTGCTCATCTTGCGTTGTTCTACAAGTGATAAGCTTTTACCCACACGTCTCCATTCTTTCTACTCCCTTATTGCAGTGAAGAACTTGGAAACTGGCAGGAGCTCCCCAGGAGTAAAGGTGTTTTACAGGCGAGAAATAGTCAATGGTGAGGCCTTAATGTGCGTTGAGGTGTGGGGTCACGTGCATTTGGTTCAGTCTAATTTTGGTTGCCGCTGAATTCCTCAGTTGCACAACTTTCTAATAAAACCAATGGGAATTAGTGCTGTATAAATCACACAGCTTTTGTTCCACTGTTGTTTGCTGGTGAGATATTAATTCCCTGCTCTGTGGAGGTCCTGCATTAAAGCCTATGAGTCAAATAACAATCAGCTCAGTGGGACCACTAATGAAAATAACAGCTTGAAGTTAATCAGTTCAGATGCACGTGCTCCCTGTTTACTTCCTGAAGGTGGAAGGAGTAATTACACATTCATTGTATTATGTTCTTGTGTTTTGTGCAAGGCTGGGAAGTAAAATTACCAAATGTTCTAGTTAATTTGGCTTTGCTTTTTGCTTGTGCAGGTAAAGGTAGTCTCCACTAAATGATCTGCTTATGCAAGTACTTCTGTGGTTCACTAATGATAAAAATATGGAATTGCTCATATAAATTGTTTCCAGTATGTAAGGGTCCTGTGCACTTTCATTGGCATCTGCTATAAAATCTTGCTTTGGAAACAATGAGCTGAGGAGGAAGTAGCTAGAAAGCAACTACTGAACTTATCAGGTGCTTAACTGTGTCCATTTGTCTTTTTCCCATGTACCTGTATACATAACTGTATGTAAGGTAATTGTTGTAGTTCTGTATTGACTTTGGTTTTGGTGGGTTGCAAGCCATTAGTTAGCCTTGTTTAAATGCTTAAGTTCTGAAATACACCTTTTTACAGACCACTTGTGTAAATTCCTACATCAGAATGAGTTTAAAATTATTTTATCTGTTTTGAGGTTTTTTCTCATATAGCCATGTCCTATTCTGGTTTGTATATTTCTCCTTTTTTGAGAAATAACTGTCAAAATGTTGCTAGTCAGCACCAGAATATAAATTGTTTATTTCTATTGCAGTGGAATTGCTGGATGAACCAGATTCACAGAAGTGTACAGCAGTGCTGTCTGAGTATGTTGAAGTATTTCCTTCCTTTCATGATAAAAGATGGGGTGGGAATGTACTTGGTAGGGAGGTCAACACTTGCATTCAATATCTCACTGGTGTTTAAACCCAACTGTGCCAATCTTGTATTTCACCTCAAAAGTGGTGAGCAAGGTGATGAGTAGCAGACCTCTGCTGTTTAAAAGACTTTTTCAGGCCGTAGCATATTTCTTTTTTTTCTTCCCATTGATGTTCCTAGGTATAATTCTCTTGATTTGTTTGTGGTTTCAGGGTGAGTTTGCCATGAACGTTTCTTCTGTGTTTGTTGAATAGTTCCAGAGCAGTTGTATGTAGGAGTTAAGTTTCAGAACAACTGTATAAACTTACATAGGTGTAGTTATAGGTAGCTGGTAAAATTATGCTTCAAGCTCCTGCTGTCTGTTGTTCTTAGTTGGCTTTGCTTTTGAGTCTTTTGGCATGACCTGAATAGTTTTTTCCTTTCAAGACAAGAATAAAGTGGTACCTAATAAACAGCCTTAAAATATAGCCAGCACATGAACTTCTAATCAGCAATAGCCTTCTTGCTTCCTGTTGTCTCTTTTTTTGCTTTGAACAAATATACGTGTGCACATATGCTCAGCTGTGTAGCAGATTTATTTCTGAATTAATCCTTTACTGTACCATTTTAGATGAAAGATTCTTCAGATACACCTAAATGTGAATCAGAGTTATTTTATCATATTGAGATAGGACTGTATGAGATAGTGATCTGTAATCATAGTGGCATGGTTTTATATCAGTATAAAGAAATGTTTACTAGTAAGACGTTTTGCTCTGAAGACTCTCTTTTGTCTTGGAATGTCCTGTTGTAGCAATGAAGCATCTTATATGTGGTTTATCTCAAGTAGATGACTGTTTGCTAACTCTCTGATCTTGACTTCGCTACTATTTGTGTTATGAATAACCTTCTTCTAAGTATAGCAAAGTTTCAGTGAATATAACTGTTACTTATTTATGAACTTGTAAAACCAGCCTTCAGTTATAATATCTGATCAATGATTTAATTATTATGGATTTCAGAGTAAAGATTTGCAGATGTTTAAGCTGTGGGGGTCTTGAGCTTATGTTGGGCAATTCGTTCCTTGTAATTCTTTCTTCCCTTGAAACCTTCATAGCTGAGCTTTGCAGTGAGTATCTGTTTGGTTTGTGTTTTCACCTTTTACTTTCAGACATATATCCCACATATCATGTAAAATAAAGGTCCTGTGGACAGAACAAGCTCATGTTTGAATAGCTTTAAATTCTCCTTTTAGAATTGGGCAAACATGATTGGGAAGTTGCTTCATGTGTAGCTGTTTGGTTTTGGATGCAGGTGGATAGCATTGCATGAAGAATTTTTCCTTGTTAAAATATCCAATCATGTAATCACATATCCAATGTGTAATGTTTTACTTTTGTGCATGTGTATATGGCTGCTTTGCTCCTGCAGGTGCACTTCAGCTGCAGAGGAGAACAAAGGAGCAGACACAGGAACAGCAGAGGGTGGCCTGGGGAGTTCTCCATGTGTTTCCCTAGAGAGGCAGCTCAGAGCCTTGAATAGCTTAAACATGAACCCCCTCCCAGGTAATGTCAGTGTTAGTTGAGATGACAGAAAGACTGGTGTGATGGGAAGATGTTACAAAGGAAAAGATTGTTCACTTGTCTCTGAGGATCTAGCTTAGCAGAAGAAATTCCCTAGGGGAGGGATCTCCTGAAAGAGCCTTCCATGGTGGCAGTCAGCTGCTAGATAAGGTTCAAGAGAGATGCAGCCAGGCTCTACCCTTTCTGGTTGTGCAACTGAATTGCCTTCACCTGTGCTCCCAGGGTTGACCGGGTCTTTCCTCCAGGTGCTCAATCAGTGGTTCAGGCTGTGACTCAACAGTTTCCATACACAGTCAAGTAGTGTAGTTGCTCTGTGTTAGCCAGTATCTTCCCTAGAAGCTGCAGTTTCTTGGCTTGCCTATTATCTGGACAGGCTGTGCTTTGCAAGAACAATGGTCATGGACAGATAGGCACAGAGCTTACCTGCAGACATTCTTTTCGCCTTCAGATATGTACATGACACCAAAAAGAAACTCCTGCTTTCAAGAATGTTTATCCTGTGGTTCACATCAACAGTAAAAGTGGTGGAGTAGTATAACTGATCTTTTGGATAAGTCAAAGTGCTTCAGTTGGTAAACATTCCTCTTTGGTGATTATTTAATCTTGTCATGCCGTTTCAGGGACAGGTAAATGAAAACTCATTAAGGCTAATGCTCTTTGTTATTGTGCTGGCTGTTATGCTTGAAAGGTGCTTGCATTGAATTGGTTGAGTGATTCATGCTCTATGTACAACCCAGGTATGGATCTAAGAAGTAATAGGCTCACTATTCTTATAGAGCCTTGACAAGCACTCATTGCTTGTGTAGGCTGAAGGAAGGTTACTTGCACTGGCCTTGGAAGTGGGGGGAGAAAATGGGCAAGGTTGACATGCTTTTAAAATTTTGCCTTATCTTTGAAATAGAACAATATTTCAGTATAGAACATTGTCTTTGTGCTGTTGTGGGTGTGTGAAGGGGGAAGGGAAAATCTTTGAAATCCTTTCTTTGGTGTTTGTGGGATATTGTTAGGCAGGTGTTCAAAAATGTTAAAATCTGCCCTAGATTCTGTTAGTGCTCTTCTTGGTCATTTACCTGTTGGTGTTCTGTGGTATCATTGTTCTCTCACTTTTACAAGTTTTCTTCCTTGGAATGCCTGGGAATTAGGGCTATTCTAACAGATTCAATTTCATTAATTGAAATCTTTTTCCTTTATGCATCACAGAGACAAAAAAAAACACTGCAGCTTTTGAGTATCATTTTTTCCATGGGAAAGTAAAAATTTTGATTCATGCTGAAGACTGTGCACATCTGAAGTGAACAGTTCAGTAATCTGAAGCTGTGGATTCCCCATACCTTGAGGTTTTTGAGGCCAAGTTGGATGGGGCTTTTAGCAACCCAGAGTAGTGGAAGGTGACTCTGCCTCCTGTGGGGGGATTGGAACTGGATGAGCTTTAAGATCCTTCCCAAACCAAACAGTTCTGTGATCTCCAATTCTTATTCTATGATCTGTTTGTGTGTTCAGGAAGTAGAGAGATTAGAGCTTAACTAGAGTGATATTATAATTGAAATATATACCATAAGGAAGAGTTCAAGCAGAAAAACATCTTTTTTCAAATTTCATTTTAGGGAAGGAGAAAGAAGAGAAAGTAGAGTATACAGTTGTTAATTGTTTCCAGGAGAAATTTGGCCCAGCAGTGAGTATTAATTTAAGCTTTTATGCAGTGTATATGATTTTAAAGCCTCTTCTGTTCTAATTGTCAGTACAGGATTGTGAACATTGCTACATGAGGTCTTGTACTGGAAATCATTTTTGCAGGCTGTGGTGAAATTTGAGTTCTAAGTAGTAACTGGCTTCTTTAAGTCAAGTAGAAATGGTATCCTTGGTGGTATTAAGGTATATTTAAGTTGTGCATACATGCATGGAAAGAGTTTGCAGCAAATCATTGATTGTTGATAATGGTTTTCAGAATCTGTATCAGCTGTGAACTGAGGTGAGGTGTCAGTATTAATAGTAAGTGAGCAATTACTTAAAAAGGTAGCAGTACCTGGATTTGTTGGTGTTTGGAGAGGGCATTGGCAATGCTTTTTTTATGGATGTTTGGAACTTCAGAAATGCCTGGACCTGGGCTTTTTTCTTTAAATTGTGTGTAACATCAGTGAATTTAGTAGGAAGGCTTTGCTTCAGAACTAATGATAGACTTACTAAACCTAATAGTGTTTTTAGGTCTGAATTAGATCAGCAATGCTGTATGTCCTTGATGCCATTTTATCCTGCAGCTAAATCAGCTGAGATTTGGTACTATTTAAGATATGTATAGTGCACATGTGGATAAAATAGTCCTTTTACCACAGGGGAAGATTTCCCTGACTGCAGAGGAATCTAATTTTTGCTTGAAAAGAAGCTGGCTTTTTTCCTGCTCCTTTTATATTGAATGTGCAGTATGGGTTAGTTTATCTTAATTATCTGGGAACTTCTAGTGTCTGTGAGAGTAGCAGTTTCATTTCTTATACCTTAGAAGATGAGCTTATCCAAAAAGAATACCTCCTTTGTGATCCTGAGGAAGTTCCCAAAACCTACTTAAGAAAATTTCTAAAGAGGAGATTGGGAGAGTCTATATTCTTTAGTTAATCCATGATCTCTGTTAAATCTGTCATTGTTTCTATAATGCCATGTCTCCAACTGGACTGATACTGTCTGTTTCTCTTGCATTACTGTATACTTGAGTTTTGTTGTTCATGATTTATATTTACATTTCTTAAATTTGGATCATGACCAGAAAAATCCCACCTTACTATGTGTCTCTATTAGTTTCTGGCACTATTCAGTTAGCCCTATTTTCATTAGGTGCTGCACCTGAAACAACAGGATGTTATCAGTGTTGCTGGAGAAGGTATTAATTTGTGTCGTAAAGGGAAGCTCTCATGGCTTCAGGTAAGAAACAGATGTTGTCCAACAAATGCTCCTACATAGTAGCAAAACTGGGAAATATTTTGGGATTAGCCTGTGTTTAAGACTTACATAACTGTTTTGGTAAATGGATGTGATTTTCTTCTGGACAGATTAAGTGTTTAATGGAAGACCTGTTGCAGAAACAATTATGCCACTGTAAGGCAATCTAATAAGTAATCTATATTTAATATAATACTTTATAAATTATAAGTTTTATTAAATATAAATTATGTAGCATATGTGTAACATTTGTTTGCAAAAACAATATAATTTACTTGGCTTGCCATCTATATTTACTTGAATAGAGGTAGAGATTACAATAGTACAGCTGTTGTCTATTAAATAGCTACAAGGCCTACCTAATCCAATGCCAATATAAGTGAATTAGATGGAAGGATTAAAATCTATCTGAAGATAAAATATCTTGGTTGATGACTGTTATAAAAACTTGAAAAAAAGAGATGGAAAGGAGTACTGTTCAATATGCTCAAAAGCACCTTGGTTTATTTTTAAATAGGGTTAGGACTGAGCAAAGCAAAAACTTGTGTGGGAGTTTTGTACTTCAAACCTGCAGGTGTCCACCTGCTGTGGCATGGTGAAGTGATGAATTTCTATCAGCTGTTGCTAAGACATGAGTTTGAGCATAGGCCATAAAACTTTAGATTTTTTCTATCTGGAATGGTGTGGTGGAAAATGTCCTTTGCTTTTTTGGTAGCAGTTTTTGAAAACAAAAGGAATGCCATGACCATGAGAATTTTGCTTGATGGTGTTGACATTGTAGGAATTTACTTGGAGTACTTCAGCTAGAGTTTACTTTCGATATGTCTCAAAATGCTGTCTTAAACTGTGTATAGTAGACTACTGGATTGTTCTTTCTAGCTTCTGTATCTCTGCATGTCTGAAAAAAAGACTCTCATAGGTTAGCATTAAGGAAACTGAGTCTGCTTCCCTTAATGTAAACCTTTCTGTGACAGATTGTCTTGTATGTAACAGTGCACTTTCTCCTGCCTTCAAATCTGTTGTGTTTTTTTTTTGTTCCTCACTCATCTCTGTACCTCGATTTGTTGTAGATGGCAACAAAAAGCCATATTTTTCTATTTGATATTTTCCTTCTGGGCCCTCAAGCTTTCAGAAATGGATTACGAACTGTGCTAGAAGATAAAAACATCTTGAAGGTAAGGGTGGAGGGGAGTGTAAGGTAGTAGGGGTGGTGTATATATGTGTCCTGTTCACCAAAAAAGCTGTGGTTGTGCACATACTTGTCTGACAGTTCTTTTTTACTCCAGGTCATGCATGACTGCCGCTGGATCTCAGATTGCCTCTTTCACCAGTACAGCGTACTTCTTGACAATGTCTTTGATACACAGGTACCCTTCAGATATTGTGGCTGGGAGCAGACAAGATGTGCAGTCTGTTTCAGCTCTCACTGTAAAGAGCAAAATGAATAAAACCAGACTGGAAAAAAGCAAACAACGTTTTGTGCAACTGCTGTTGGCTGCTGATTGCTTTGCTTTGGGTTAACAGATAGTGGTAATAACACATGAATACCTTCCGTCACAGGTTGCTGATGTTCTGCAGTTCTCAGTGGCAACGGGTGGCTTCTTTCCACACTGCACTTGCACATTACAGGAGTGTCTGATGCAGCACTTGAAGATACCTTCCAAATGGAAAACCCTCATGAAGCATGAGCAGCAAATGGCTTTGGTGGGTGATTTAGTGAGGCACCTTCTGAAAACTGACTTGTAAGCTGTGCTTTGCCCTCTTACAGATTTTTATTTTAGTTTTTAAGAACATAGTACTGTTTAGTGGTTGGATTGCTGTAGTTAAGGATGTTTTGTAACAGTCATTTGGGAGATAGATGCAAGCTTCAGCTGCAGTATTTCTAGTATTGCTAGTATTTCCCAATAGTTTATTTGAAACTGAGGTATTGAAGAAAGACAAAAATTGTGCAGTAGAGATTGTGTAAGTTGTAAGAACAGTCAAGTGTATTATGATACCCAGAACAATTCTGAAACCTAGTCCGACAACAAATTGGTTAAAATGAATCTAGAGTCAAGTAAGGAAAAGGAAACTTTGATGCTGGTGCTACTAGTATGCAAGAATTAGAATAGTGGTTCAGTGGCATTTGCCATATCTTTAGAATTCTACCTAGTTTCAGGCAGATAGGTGAGAGAACCTAGTGTTAACTACTGGAAAAGATGTATATCTTTTCCTGTTGCTGTGTTTTAAGCAATTCCACCTCCAAAACCTCCTCTGATATCTGTAGGATTGTATGCAGGTGGCCTTAGAAGCTGCAAGCAGTCAGTAGCACTAAAGTAGATAGCAGGATCTGGAGATTCAACAGCAGAGGAATGTGATGAAAAGCTTTGTTATAATTCTTCCTTCTTAAATAACTTCTTGTTTGCATTGGGATACACAGGAGAATCCTGATATGTGGTTCTTAAGACCCTTTCCAGCTTCTCTGCTTCAAGTACTTGCTCTGAAGGCTATGTACCTTCTGCTACTCCGCTTGTCTCTAATGGATAACTTCATGGCAGACCTCACAGCTGTGGTACATGCTTACTTAAATACTTCACAGAATGGATCTGAAGATCATCTTGGGAGCATAAAGGTAGGAATGTCCTAGCTTGTTTCTTGGTTTGGTGAAATAATCTAAGGCTCATGGATAAACTCTGGAAGACCTAATTGAAGCCTTTTCATTTTTGGCAGATGTATACCCTGCTTTATGCCGCATTTTGCTTTTGGTGCTCAGTAGTGGAAGTGATGGTGTCTACATCTATTTAGCTGCATCTCAAGTCAGTCTGTTAGCATAAATCCACCTTAAGTTTGTGTTGCAGATAGTGAGCTTAAGGCACAGGCATATATGCATTCTGTTCATTCTGGTCTGACACAGAACTTCTGGGCTCAGTGGATGGTGGGTGGGTGTAGACATGAAAAGAGACAGGCAGCTGTGAAGTGGTGTTATCTGGAGTTGACAGAGTTGCTTTATTTTGTTAAGAGACATTATTCTCCAAGTCTTGTTCTATTTTTCTCCAGTCATGTCATCATTACTCCCGAGTTATTTTGAATATAATTGTTTTTGAAAAATGTTGTCTTCTGTTGCCCAATGATTTTTATTTCTTCCTGATTTCTGCTCTTTTGAGTTATCTAAAAATAATATCAGGTAACATTTTGCTTTGTTAGTTATGTAGATCGAGTACTATTGTTTCATAAATACACTTCCAGGTATCTTGGAGTGGCTTTTGTGTGGTGATGGACTCCTCTTTGGTGGTCATCTTTAAAAGGGGAGAGTGTGATAGGTATTTTTTTTGCTAAGGAACTTGATTTTCTTTGCTAATGGAAAGATGAGTTCTGTGCAGACAAAATAGACAGTTGTATTGCTGTGGTCTTTTTCAGTGTATTTAGTGAAGTCATAGTGGGGATTGCAGTGACTATGAAAGATATTGCTGCTAGTGAAATAAAGAAAAAGGTAAATGGTCAGACATCCTTATTCATCATGACAGAACAGAACTAATTTGTGGTTAGATCATGTCACTACCTCTTTTTTGCAGTTGGAAATATTTTGAAATATTTATTAGGAAAACTGGATGCAGGTCTGTCTTAGAGAATGAAATTATTTCTTTTCCTGGTGTAACAAAGCATTCAATCCTGGACTTGAATCCTTTGGGTACTATATAAAGGCTCTGAATAGTAAATCCAATTATTAAGGATATAGTAGGAGATAAATTTACATAACCACAAGAGGTCACAGTTGATTCACAGGTAGGTAGATCTGAAAACGTTTGTTTGCTTTTGAGTTTTCAATAACAGGAGTTTGTTTATGCTTCATGGGGAGATCTTGACATCTGGATTTCCATGTAAAATGCATGCAAAAGTAGGAAGGATACAGGAGAAAAAAGCAATCTTTAAAAAGTGCAGAGGATAAAATAGTCCTTAGCACTGGGTTGTTTGGAGAATTTTAAAGTGGTGTCTGAAACCAACTCTTTTGTAAACCCGTTTATCCATAAGATTAGCCAAGGAATTAATTTGATCCTGAGCATTTCAGATGGCATTTTGAAGACCTATTTAATATCATATTTAAGAAGAACCTTGTAGAATGGACAGTAAAATTAGCCTTTTTCACCATTACTTCACTGTTAATCACTTTGCTTCTGTATCTTACAAGATAATCACACAAATGAAACTCTTGTATTAAGAAAAAACTGTTTGACATATATTTATATCAATTGATATATATTTAAACCCCAGACAAATCTCCTTGGTTTAGTTGCATGTATTCTCTTTTTCTGTTGTCCTAGCTTTATGATTTTAGTTATTGGTATTCCATATCACATCATGTAGTGCACTTGGGAGTCCCAGAAGAGAAGAAATATACTACAGCTCCCAGAGAACTTTGCTGTTCTGTTTTCTGGTTAGTGGGGAAGATAAAACTGATTGGAAGTCATGGGACTGACTCTTTGCTCCCTGGTGGATCAGAATAAGAACCTCATTTTTTCAGAAACTTTTTCGATTTGGCATCAATCCCAGTAACTTGTATGTCTGCTATTATAATAGCACATCCTCCTTCTCAGATTGTTGCCACTATTTGTTTTTTTCTTTCCCTCTGTTTTTTTTCCCTTTTTCCCCCTAGCCTTTTTGGGCTGGTGGGCCTGCTGTCCCCCTCTCACAGACACAGATCTAGAGATAAGTGAGTCAAACATTGAACTTCGGCCTGGACTAGCATTGTAGCATCCTGCTGATCTTCCCTGGGTCACTGCCAGAATCCAGAAATTCATCATGCCAACCACTGTTGTATATTACAACAGTATCAGGATATACTTAGTGAAAAAAGATGCTTTGGCTTTCCAGTCTGAGGTTGCCTGAAAATTGAATGATAATGAATAACAATCAATGTTGAACAATAACTACTGGGTCAGTTAGCAACTTGTCTAATTAGGAGATTCTGTTTCTGGGAGCAGACTGAACATATCCTCTGTTGCTCCTAATCTTGGAAATAGTAGGAAGGAGTGTGCCTCCTCATGGAGGAAAGCCAAGCCTGCACAGTTGCCTTCATGGTTTCCTTCATCTAATAAGAGTTGAGGAAAGACAAGTGTGAATAAGGCTGAATATAATTATTTTTGCCATTTTTTGGGCCTCTGCATGCCAAATCTCTATAGTCAGTTTTTCAGGGAAATCTCTTCAGTGAGAAGTTCCTGCGTATCCTAATAGGCCCCAGTAGTAGCAGAATGCAGGAAGCATTTCCTGGATAAATGCAGAATTCTTGTCAGTTCAAAACATCTTGGAGACTTTGGGATATACTCAGGAGTGCTTGTTTTCAGATGTATGCATAACTGCAGGTACCAGTGCCTAATTTTGTCCTGTCTGTTGAAAATTCATGACTGCTAGTGAGTGAGCTTGTTTTGTTGCAGCTTATTTCATTGGAAGCTGGTGCTTTTCCTTATTGTAAAGTTTTTATGAAGAATTTGATGAGAACAAAGTCCTAGATTGTCAGAGGCTGTGGGTAAGATGGTACAAATAAAAATGGATCAGTGATATTTTATAGGTTTTGCAGCAATAAACCTGAATGAGCAGAATGAGTAGCTGTTATGTATTTCGTGCAAATAGTATGTAAATGAATCTTTGACACAGATTGTAATTTTCATGAACAATTGCAGCTGTCACCAGTGATAGTGCTGTTTTCAATTGAGGTTTCATCCATATTCCCCCTGTTTTTTTTTAGATGTTTTGCTGGAAATGGCAAAGAACCAGAATATTTCTGGGTGGCCTTTCTGACAAGACTTCCTTTCACCTTGCTTCTGGATGGTCAAGTGCAGTCTTCTGTCATTTCATAGCTGTTTCAGCAGTAACAGAAGATGCACTGAGTAGCTGGCCTGTGAACTGGTACACCAGGTTGGGGGAGATGCATCATGTGACCTTTACAGTACAAATCTATGGACAAGAGCTTCTTTTGGGGGACAGTTACAGAAAATATGGGTGTCAAGCTTTTAGCCAGCAGTTGTTAGCAACAGGAAAGCATTTCCAGTGACTACAGCAGCCAGAAAATGTGATCATGCAGCACTGTAGTTGATATAGTACTGGGAGAAGAGAATGGCTGTGGGGTAAATGAAAAGGAAAGTCAACTCATTGATCTTCAGTTTTGTATATCCTTGTATGTTGATGCTTTCTGTGGTTTTGTGCGTCATCACCTGCAGAGAGCATTTGAATCTTCTGAGTAGTGGATGTTTCCTTCTAAGCACCTAACATTCTACCCTCAAAACAGCAGTGAAACTGTAAATTCTGAACTCAGTAGTTCACTATCAAAATCCTCAGCTGCATTCTTCTACATCTTTCTCAAAGTGATCTGCCATCACCACTAAGAATTCAGCCTGGACTTCCCAACCTGAAGATTTATGCAGTTTCTCATATTTTCAGTGCAACTTTCTGCCAGGAGAAATTGTTCTTCTTGTGGATGCAGACATGAAGTTACATGGGCTTCTGTGTGTCTGCAGCTCTGTCTCTAGAAGAGAGCTAGGAAAGAAGTGGTGTTAAATTTCTTCTCTTCATAGATGTGTATTGTGTGTGGTTAGGTGCTTTGAAATACTGCTGTGTTCTGATGTGTAGGACTTAAATTCAAAGAAAGAAATACTGCCTGGGAACCAGGCAAATACATTTGTAGAAGTGCAGTGTTTTGAGTGGTGACAGTTTACAAGGAGACCTTTGGAACTGTAGAGTTTTTGCTTACCACCACTATCCCTGTGCAGCAGAAATGATTTCCCTATACATTTCGGGTAAGGCTGCAGTAGATAAGGTGCAGTGCAGCATGTAGTACCAGATAGCATGTTCATGGCAGGTAATGGCAGAAAGCCTGTTCTCCACAATGCTGAGGTGAGATGTGCAGTCCAGTTGAGCAGCAGGGAGATGGCAGGAGAGCTGATGAAGAAGAGCAGGTGAAAAAGAGCACATCAGGTGACCTTGCCAGGCGTTATATCTCCTCTTGGTGACTGCAAAGTCCCCTGGGGAATGTAGTTCTTCTTTTCTGGGCAGGTATCCAGAACTTGAGCATTAACAGTTAAACTTCCAGTGCCCCACATGATGTTATGATGTGGAATACCAAAAACCAAAAATCACAAGACTATGACATCTGGATCTCTGCAAACTTCTAGATGCAGGTTTTGAGAGACATACCTACCCTTTACAAAAGCTATGATAATGCTTTTCTGGTGTATCCAACCTTTGTATTTATTCTTTCTGCTCTTAGTGTTTCTGCCAGTGAGCTCATAGGGGCATCTAACTTAGCAATGTGTAGCTTCCTGTATCTTCCTATGGACCTTCTTTAAATATTTACTGTCTTCCCATCTGTGAGTATCAGGGCAGGTTTTAAGCAAGTTGCTGCAGTTGCTTGTTCAGCTATTTCATCTTCACTTCAGGAATCTCAGGTGGTCTGCACCTTGCTGTTTGTGTTAAAGTGTTGGTACAAATATTTATACCATGATCTGAAACATTATAGGTACATAAATGGTTTTGGTGTTGGAATTGCTACATATTTCAATGTTAAATACAGGAGGGAAAAAATGTTGCATTTGTTCCTGTGCTGTTTTTGGGTTCTGGCTGTTGCTTTGCCCAGCAGTGTGGCTGATGTTTTATGTGTTTCTGGAGTTTAAAGAAAGTTTTTAAAATTTATTTTCTTATACTTTTGCAAATAGTAATTTTTTCTAGCCTGTCTTCTGTTTGCTCTGCAACTTCATCCTTATTTTCTTCATTTTGGTGTGACTTTAACTCTACTGAAGAATGATTGCTGAATAGTCTGTTGCCCTGCTCTGCATTCCTGCCAGTTTCCTTTTGGTTTCTGTGATGTTTTGCTTTTAAGTAATGTTTACTCTGTGCTGCTTGTATCTCAAAGCTGTCTCTATGCTACTTGATAGAATTTAATTTGTTTGGCTGCCTTTTCCCACTTGTTAGCAAGCTTTCTTATTTATGTGTAATTTCCCTTTATAAGGATGAGAGCAATGGTGAATTTTTTTGACGTTTCTCCAAACACAGTGAGCATTGCAATCCTTGTTAAATAGCAGTTCCTTGAATGTAATGTTTTGAATAGTGTTTCATGAGCTGCTGAGATCCATGTCAAGAAGTGCATCTCCGTTCATGGATTTCCTAGGCAGCTGTTCCACTGACTTATGAACAACTGACTACTATTGTACATGAGGCTTGTTTGTTTGTTGAGGATAGAAATACTATGATTTGGAGAAAAGCCAGGAGAGGTGCTTTTGCAGTGACTTCTGCAAGGAAACCTGAACTGACTGTAAGTCTTTTGAGGCTTTATAAGTTGGTATTACAGAAGATCTCTGGAGCAATCTTAATCCCGTATGCAAAATACCACTTAAATTCTGAAGATCTGCATAATAAGGGCATAAACAGTAAAGTAGGTCTAATGTTTTTCCCTTTAGGTTGCCTTTGAGAGAAAGGATGGGGTCCTTCCCTCCTCTCCTCCCCCCACTATAGTGTTTATATAAGCAGATAGTTAATTCATGCTGTGGATGTAATAAGAGATGATTGCTCTGTTTTGTTGCCAAATCAGAGGAAGCTCTTATCTGGTACCAACAAAAGTAGAGCATGTGTATGCATATGTATTGTTTCTATTTCTTTTTTCCTTATCAGCCTACTTGCATGGAGCTGCCAAAGGAGCTGCGTCAGCTGGCAGACATCCAGAAGCTGCGAAGGGAGAAAGCAGTGAAAGAGTACAGAATAAGTGAGGATGGTCTTTTGATCAGACCAGTCATAGAATTAAATGAGAGAAATCCACAGAAGGATGAAACCCACTGAGATGACAGGGACTACCTTCCCCCCAATGAAGCCAGTGAGTCGAGCTGCATCCTTCAACAGTCAAGATCTACTTTATGAAGTGAAAGGAAGAAAGTCAAAAACAAGTGTCAAGTCTGTAGGAGAACCTCAGACCAACTTCAGGTTGGCTGTAAAAATCTTTGGTGCAGGTAACTTGATAAGCTTATGTTATGTATTTGACGACTTTCAAAAATAAGATGGAGCTATTTCCTATGCAGAAGCACCAAACAATTTCTTCTTTACAAGGACAGTTGAGCAGATTGTTAAAGGGAAATGTTGATGGTCTCTCTAATCCCAGTTTCTGACTTGTTAAAATCTATTTTGAGATCTTTTTTTCCCATGAGCTATTCTGGCTATTGACTTTTTCAATTTATCTATTTTATCAGACTGTCTTAAATTGCGTTGGTGCTTTTGTTGTTTTCAACTGTTGGAGGTATGGAAAACTCTCACTCAAACCAAATATGTGAATGGGGGAGCTTGTAAGATGCCTGTTCATTGTGAATAGAAATGGTTTGCTTGGAAACTTCTTCTCTTAAAAAAAAAGTTCTGGCCAGCTCATGTGGGCTTGGTTTATAGACAGATAAGTCCCTTGGCATAGTGGTATGAGACTTGCATAGGAGAGTGCAAGAGATCACACCCTACTGAACAGCATTGCTGGCAAAAACAGCAGAGGTGTACAGGTAAAAGCTATTTTCTGCCAAGACAGAATTACTGTATCCTAACTGGCAAATGCAGCATTCTGCTTATGAAGTTGCAGCCCACCTCTGTCAGCACTACTGTCTTACTTATATAGATAAAACAGTACCAGTAATGTGTGTGTACAGAAAAGCATCTGTTCTAAAAGTAAGGGAAAACAGTTAAATTAGTGTAAACCATGTCTAGTGTTCTCCCCAAGAAAAATAAGATAGGCAAAATTTGTTTATATCCAGTGTACTTGTTTTGTCTGTTATTCATTAAAATACTAGACCAGAAGTATTTAAGGTTTTTGAAATTCTAGATGTACTTATTTCTGGAAATGTTAGAAAAAAGTTGGAAGGTTTGATTTTTTTGACAGTGCACTTTTCTGTATTTTTTTTAAATCTTGCACAGTATTCTGTAATTGAAGTGTTCTTTAGTTCTTTTATCTTGGCTCACTTTAGAAAAAATAAAACAGGTTTGAAGGGTTTCTTACAGCTTTTTATGTGGATGTTGAGACTTGTTTGATTTGGTTGACTAGGAGATGCTGGACTGGGCCCCTTCCAGCACTGGGCTATGTGATGATGTTCATCTGGGACAAGGCTTTCCTAAGCAGTGGTGTGTTCCCAGAAGTCAGTGAGTTGTGACATGAAATATGCAGGGTCTTCAGAACCAGCACAGAAGTGCTTGTAGTGTATTTCTAGAACTGAAATCACCTGGGCCCATCTGGTCCCATTACAGAAAAATGGAGAAAGTTGCAGGGTATTGGATATTGTAGGTTGGGAATAGTTGGATGTGAAGGTTTCTGGGATGCAGAAGAGTGATTATAGAGTGCCCTTATGCAGGATATAGACAAAACTGAGATGTGCACCTGGGCTTCTCCAGGAGAAACAAAGTTCTGGTTGGAATAATACTATTAAAGAATAAGGATTTTCAGATAGGAGCTGGACAGAGTGCCTACATCTGTGCTACTGTGTTGCTTCACCAAAATCTTCAGGGTAAACAGGACTGCAGCTCTCCCTTGTCTTTTGCAAATGGTGTGAAGAAATAGATTGGGACCAGCTTGTCCGTCTTGATGCATTAGACTAAGAACAATCTTTTTTAAAGGAGAAGAAAGTAGGACTGGACAAAATATTTTTAAATTGGTAAATTTGTAATGCTGCTCCATGCTAGCACTATATATGTGATTTTTTCTAAGCTTGGTGGTAATGTGGTGCACTTCTCTTCCTTAATGTAACTGCTAGGTGTAGTTAGGGATGCGTGCAGGTAAGGACAACTGTAGGCAGCTTGTTTGGGAGGTGAAGCAGTCTTGCTTTTTGTTTCTCAGCTGTTGTGCTTTCTGATATGTTGTCAGAGAATGTAGAGAAAAGGTACAAACTGCTGTCTCCAAGCAGGGAGTGAGCTGAAGCACTGCAGATCACGAACGCACTGAGCAGTGCTACTAGTCAATGGTTCCTGGCAGGTAGCCGTGCCGACAGCTGCAGTCCTTACGGTGCACCGTGCCCTCACCATCACATTCAGGCTGCCGTTTTCTCAAGCTCATCTGCCCTAACTCTTCGCGGGTCAGTATACCGAAACGCTCGCAGCTCTGCGCGCGACAGCCGTTCTGCCCGTACCAACCGCAGCGGGGCCGCCCTCCCTCCCCCCCCCGCAGCCCGGGACCGGGCCGCTGCCACCCGCCCCGGCGGCCGGCAGCCCCTCCGCCCTTCCGGCGGCTCAAGGGCGAGTGCACGTCACTTCCGGTGTACATCCGCCTCCCGCCGGAGACATCGCGAGAGCTGCCCCCGCCTCGCGCGAGACTCGCCGGCTCACCCGGCCGCTTCGCCCGAGTCCCTTCGGCAATTTCCGTCACCGCCAGACTCTACCAATCGGCCCGAAGAGCGCATCGATGGACGCGGACCCCCCGCGGGCTACGCGCAGAGCCACCGCCCGCGGCGCGGGCCCGGGGCTCGTGCGGCGGCGGCGACGACGTCGGCGGGGCGGCGAGGGAGAGGCGCGGGGCCGGAGCGCCGTGCCGGCGTGCCGGGCTCGATTGTTCAGGCCTGGCCATGGCGCCTCTCCTCCCCCCCGCCATGGCTCCCCGTGTCCCTGCTCCTCTCCTCTCAGTGAGCGAAAGTGGCCGCCGCCGCCGTCCCAGCGCCCGCAGCCGCCGCCTCCTCCTCAGCAGCAGCGCGGGCGCCATCTTGGCGAGGCAGGAGCCGGGAGCGCCCCGCGGCAGGAGACGGGCAGCGGCGGCCCCGTCAACGCGCGGCGAGAGGCCGGGCGGAGCGAGCGGGGCGGCGAGCCCCGGGGACACCCCCAGCGCCCGCGCCGCTCCGCAGCCGGGCCCGCGCCCCAGGTGAGCACCGCGGCGGCCGCGCAAGGACGCGCGGGGTCGGTGGCGGGCTGCGCCCCGCCGGGCCGCGGCTCCCCCCTCTCCGGGCGGCGGTGGCGGCGGCGGCCGGGCCTTTTCTTAAAGGCGCAGCCCCTTCCCCGCCCGCCGCCGGCAGCGCCCCGGGACCGCCGCGGGCCGCACCCCCCTCGCGTCACCCCCCCCCCTCCGCGCGCGGCGCGGCGGCCCCGGAGCCCCGCGAGCGAATGGGGCGGGGGGGGGCACCGGGGGGGCCGGTGCACCTGCGGGCGCACGTGCGCGCGGGGGGCGGCGGCGCGTGCGCGGCGGGGGGGGGTTCGGACTGCGGGCGGGGCCGCGGGGTGCCGCCGCGGGGGCAGGGCCGGGGAGCGCGGCCGATCTGCTTCCCCGCCGCCCCCGCGCGGCGCTGCCCGCCCGGCCCGGGGGCGTGAGGTGCCGGCGGGCGGCGGGGCGGGCTGGGAAGAGGAGGAGGAGGAAACGGTGGCCGCGCCCCGGCCTCGTGTGGGCGCCCGGCGGCGGGGGCCTCGCAGCTCGGGGTCTGGCGCCGCGTCAGCGCGATGCCGCGCCGCTGTGGGCGGTGGTGCGCGGCCGCGGGCGGGCTGTGCCTCCGGGGGCGCACGGGGAACTGCCGCGGGGCGATGCCGCTGTCAGATGGTGGCGGGGCGGGCGGCCCCTGCGCGATGGGACGGGGTAACGGCCTTAGACTGAGACGGGGCGGGTGGAGGTTGGGCGCTGGGAGGAAATCCTTCGCGCGGAGGGCGGTGAGGCGCTGGCACGGCTGCCCGCAGAGCTGCGGTGCCCCGTCCCCGGGGGCGGTCGAGGCCGGGTCGGCTGCGGCCCTGGGCGGCTGAGCTGGTGGGGAGCAGCCCTGCCTGCAGCACGGGTGGGACTGAGGGGACTGTGAGTTTCCTTCCAGCCCAGTTCTGCGGTTGTGACAGTTCCTTCAGGCTACTTTTCCTTCGTGTGTAGGGAATGGTTCAGCCTAAACCCCTTTTTATAACGACGCTTCTTTATATGCGCTGCTGGAATTCTACTTTTCTCTTATGCAAACCTGCTGTTTGGATTTTGCGCACCTCGTACACCTGTGTGTTAGCAACACTTACCTTTTTTAAATTCCCGTGGGTCAGAACTGACATTCATATGGTCAGCCCCTCAGTGTGTGCTTGTAGGCTTGGGCTGTGACTTCCGTGTGGTTGGTAAGGCCGAGAGCAGTAAGGGAGAAGGGCCAGCAGCTTGAGCTTTTTCTCAGTGTTTGAGGAAGTTTCCTTTAGGTCATGTCTAGGCCATCTCTCTCATATGTGTTGCTAAGATTGCTTAAAATCCCGCCTTGTGCTTCTCGGCTGTTAAGATGATCAAGTTCTGTTCGGCTTAGATATAACGTAAAGGCAGTACGTTCCACAGTAAGCGTGCTGCGTGGAGAACTACATCATGCAGTAGGGGTTGTTTAGGTGGCGAGAAGAAAGCTGCCTGGGCATGGTTCCCTTTTTGTGAGCTGGGGCAAAAGGGCGGCATGCAGACAGGCAGTCTGCGCAGGCTGTGTGTTGTGGGCGCAGTGTGACAGCTGTGCTCTGCGCAGTGCAGGGCCCACAGCCCTAATGGAGCGCTGCCCGGAGGTGGGCATTGGCCCCGGGGACAAGGCCTGCTCTCACCCTGCACCACGTGGTGACACGTGTGGCTCGGGCTCTCCTGGGAGCTTTTCTCCTGGTGTAAGTGTGGGAGTGGAGCTGCCACGTGCCAACTTCTGTGTTTGGTACGTTTTAAGGCATTCTGTGGTTTGGTTTTACTTCTGATAACACTTCTGTAGGGCTGTATGCCTTTTTTTTTTTTTTTCCTTCAGTCTGTGCCCATGACTTATGTAAATAGAAGACTGGGAGCCTGTGCCCCAGTGGCTCTCCTCTGTGTTTAAAAGCAGTTAAAGTGGAACTGAAATCAATGAAGTGCTGTCTCGATCCTTGGAAAGCAATGCAGAACCTTGCTACAAAAGCAGATCAGCAGAGTACCGTGTGTAGAGCAGTGTCTAGTTTTAACTAAGTACATTCCTTAGAAAAGTGATGAAAAGGATTTCTTAGCTATTGCAAACCAAAATGATGCAAAGTTATCTTCAGTTGCGTGTACTTGTTTGCTCAGTCAGCCTGAACGGAGTGGGTCTGCACTATGGAGAACTTGAGTGCCTTATGAAGTGCTCTTCTGACTGGTCCTTGAAAAGCAATGGTCTCTCTGGTATCAGAGGTGCATTTAGGACAGTTACTGCCCTAGAAAGACTATGTGGGAGTTAGTCTTTACTTGAAGACTGGGCGTATAATGTACTGTGGAGAATGGTTGTCAGTGTAACTATGCTTTTATCAAACTAAATGCTGTTTTTCCCCTTTCAGTTTGAATTCTCCTCCAAGCAAAATACCCCTTCAGGCTCCTTTATGCCACTCCAATTGCCTGTATCAGAGATTACACGATATAAGAAAAGGTGACAAAAATGCACCTAACTGATATTGTACTCGTGAATTTCCCACTTAAACCCTGATTTGTGTGGATGTGTATGTTTGTGCCAGGAGTGATTCTGGAGATGTGACTGCAGAGTGTCCTTACAGCATGTGCTGTTCCAAGGAGAGTTGTATGTCTGATTCAAGAAAAAAACCAAACACCTTAGGTGTTCGTGTTAGTTTGGAAAATCTTTGTGTCAAAATGCAAAACATAAAAAGATGGCATTAAAAAAAAAAATGGAAAATTGTTCAAATTGCGAGGGAACTAAAATGGTGTAGAAGGTTGTGTTCAATTCTTAATTCTGCTCTCTGGATAAAACTGATGATGTAAATGGAGGTGTGAGAAATGCATAATTCTCTGTGTAAACTGGGATTTTGGCTTTTGGCCCATTTGAATATGTTGTCCGTGTGCTTATTGGTTTGGAGGAGAGGTGAGAAACCACTCGTGTGGGTTGAAATGCCCGAGTGAGTGAGCTCACCAGCCGGCCAGTTGCACTCGCATGCATACGCACGGCAGCTGAGCCCATTGGGATTAGTTTTACTTGCTGATTTGCCATAGGCTAAGAACAGGCTGTGTGGATTAGCCGCTGTGCTGTACCTTAGCCCTCCTAGGCAGCTTTCATTTGTGTGTGTGCCCTCAAGAGCGTGGTTACCATCACTGTGTATAATGCCTCGTGTCAGCATTGGGCATAAAGAGAAGAGAAAGTAATATGCTGGGCCTCAGTGAGATGTAGAAGTGCCAGTGATGGAAGGGAAAAAGAAGAAAAAGATGACTCCTGGAGAAGCAGTACAAAGAAAACCCTGTCCAGCTGGCAGCTAGGCAGGAGCTCAGAACACTTGCTGCTTATGTGGCTCCTGCTTTAAATTGATACTGGTAGCAGGAACCTGTTGGACTTCATTCAGAAATGGCCAGTGGGTATTAAACTCAGAAAGTCTGCCGTTAAGGCTGAGTTGCTTCGTGAGAGCAGTGCTTTTGCTGGCTTGGTGGTGCAAGTCAGTAGGCATAAAACTTGGACAAGTTGTGTAAAGCCTGACTGCTTCCTGAGGATGTCCTTGGAGGGCGCTTCTCCAGTGCTGTGTTTGCTTACCAGCCAGACCCACCGGTGGGCAGACTTGAAAAACAAAGTAAATGAGTAAGCCCCATACCATCATTAACACTGGAATGAGCAATGTGTTCTAAAGGACAAGGAAGGTATCTTAAGATTGAACTTGGATCTGTAAGAAACTGTATCATTTTGAAAGTTATTTCTGTCAAATCAGTAGTTAAGCAGGAGAGATTGGGAGTCTGGCTGTTAGCATATAAATAAATGGAAGGCCAAATTCAGTGCCTGAGCTCTGTATTTAATATACATCTATAGCTCTCAATTTGTTTGGGACATTGCTGATGAATGTAAGGGTTCTCTGAAGCTCTCCTGTG